GGGGAACAATGAGCAACAACTCGAACATAGCCTTGATTTGGTGGACGAAAGGAGAGATGCAGCAGCAATTCGACTCGCGGCTTACCAACAACAGGTGTGTAACAGTTATAACAAACGCGTCAGGATCAGGAGTTTTGTGGTAGGCGATTGGGTGTTGAAGCAGGAGACAGCTCATGTAAAGAAACTGGAACCTCATTGGACCGGACCCTACAGAGTTACCGAAGTAGTGGGGAAAGGAGCATATCGTTTGGCCGAAGCTGGCGGACGCCCCATTGCGCGTCCTTGGAACGCAATACACCTGAAAAGGTATTTCCATTAGTTAAGTTTGTCAATTTTGCTATAAGTTCTTCACAAATAAGGCTGAATATGTCCGCAGTTAGCCAAACTTTTCTTTATTTTGCTTCTCTATTCAATATCACTCTCCTTTGTTTTTGTTTCTTTTTATAAAAATGGATTACGCAATTTTTATGCATGCCAAGTCGCACAAAACAATGATTTTTACAAAACAAAAACAAAAACGAACAAAACACAAACACAAAACCCAACAAGCACACAACACAAAACACATGAATTATGGCCTGTGCTTAAAACTTTCTATCCCACATCGATAAAACAGTATGTGCTACATTCTGTTATATATGGGAATATTCAAATAGTTAATTACGGTGTAAGGAGGGCCCACTGGTATTTAAAGCTGTCAAGCTCAATACCAGAGGCATTCCTTACACCGACTTTTTTGACAAAATTTAGTCTATGTCCCACATCGGATAGAGATAGAGAATAAATGCGGTTCATATATGCGCGGTCCACAACATTTGGCTGCCAAGAAGTGAGTATCAGTGGAGGTAGGTTTCTAAAGTCGACAAATAGAGAACTTCACAGCCACTGTTACCCGCTTTCTTGGCTTCCTATCATTTTTGAGTCTTCAGCCTCATAATAACTGATTTAAGGAAAAATATGAAATAAACCTCCCCTCAGGCTCAGCGCTGGGGAGTAATTCATTTGCCTCGGACCCTAAGTGTCCGGCTTGGCAAAACCTCCCCTCTGGCTCAGCGCCGGGGAGGGATTCATTTAAGCCTCCCCTCGAGCTCAGCGCCGGGGAGTAATTCATTCGCCTCGGACCTCAATTCGGTTCGGCACAACCTCCCCTCAGGCTCAGCGCCGCGAGGAGTGATTTATTTAAACCTCCCCTCGAGCTCAGCGCCGGGGAGTAGTTCATTCGCCTCGGACCTCAAGTGTTCGATACGGCACAACCTCCCCTCAGGCTCAACGCCGGGGAGTAGTTCTCTCGCCTCGGACCCTAAGTGTCCGGCTCGGCAAAACCTCCCCTTTGGCTCAGCGCCGGGGAGTGATTCATTTAAACCTCCCCTTAGGCTCAGCGCCGGAGAATAGGTCATTTGCCTCGGACCCTAAGTGTTCGGCCCGGCGAAAATCTCGCCTCGGACCCTACGCGTTCGGTTCGGCAAAACCCCCCTCCGGCTCCACGCCAGGGAATGTATAATTCGCCTCGGATCCTGAATATCCGAGGCGGCTTCGGACCCTAAGTGTCCTATTCAGATCAGAACTCTTTCCTCCGGACTCCAAGTGCTTAATACCTTGTGTATACGGATATGTCATAAGTTCATCATATTCCACCCCACATCAGGAACACATGAGAAGGAAAGAGTATGTATACTGAAGGCAAGTAGAAGGCGAGGAAGGTTCATTTAACAGGTAAATCATTGTCCATACGACTCATCCTGCGATATCAACTAAACTGATAAAAGGATCTCCTTCTTCCCACGATCCTTGCATTTTCACGGATAACATAAATCCGAAGTATAAAGACAATGTTTAGTGTTTAAACACATTACCAGTCAGAGAAATATATCAAGAGCATACAGTAAAAACAGGTCAGGCAAGCCTAAAACGAAAAGTTATATTCATTATCCCAAAATAGGCTGTTCATAAAAAAAAAAAAAAAAAAAAAATGCATAGTTCTACTTCCTCTTCGGATCGAAGGGAGTAGATTCAAAAGCATCCACTACATTAGGACTTGAGGTAGCCGCAGGAGCAGGGGAGTTAGGAGTACCCTTCAGGTGTGCCTTCACCATCTCGGCAAAGCGAATTTCAGCTTCCAAAGCCTCTGGCCCTTCATCATATGGGAAGTGCACCCCTACCTGCTTGTCAAAGGCGTCCGGATCCATCGTCTTAGGGCCTGAGCCCTGATTATAGCCAGACCGGAACGCCTTCGCACTAGCCAGGTGCGCCAGACAGGAGTAACGCCCCTGCATTTGCTTCCCCGCCTTGAAACAAGTAGTAAGAGCCTCGGTCAGGCATTGAACCTTGGCCTGAAGAGAATCCACCTTAGCCTCAGAGGCTGACAACTGCCTCTTATACGCATCCTTGGCTTCAGACGCTATCTTCAGATTGGTAGAGGCAGTAGTGGCTCTTTTCTCTGCGCTGTCAAAATCCTTTTCCAACTTCTTAATGGAGAGGGATTGAGCTTCAGCAGTGGCGCAGAGGGCCATGGTGTGGTATAGACTCTGTTTAACAGGGAAGCGAATATAAGCATAAATAGAAACACAAGCAGGCAAGAGTAGCATAATTCTGAAGGTGCAATGCAAACCTCTATGGCCCGGACTGGGGCAGAGGGGAGAAGTTGCTCCAACCCCATTTGGCTGATGGCTTCCTCGTCCTTTGGGAGCCACATTCCTCGAGCCACCGCCAGTGCAGCTGAAGGGTCTGTAACCACAGAATCCCCTGAGTGTAGGACTGACATGTCAGCCCTGGTGAAGGAAGGAGTCCAAGGAACTCCAGTCTCAGCAAGAACAAAGGCCCTGACTTCATCTTCAGGTTCAGCCTCCCCAGCTTTTTTCCCTCTGCTTTTAGAGGGGACTTTGCCCTTACCAGAGGAAGAGGGGTTGAGGCGAGATTTCTTCAATGGTGGTTCCTCAACCTCCACCTCATCCTCAGTTGATCCAATGACGACCAAGGGTTGGGCATCTCCGGCTTTCTTTTTTAAAGCCTCAGCCCGCCGTATCTCCTCCTCGGTCATAGGGAAACTGTCAAAGGATGGTAAAGCCAGGTCCATGAGGTCTGCAGCAACGGCACTGGAGGCAATGTCCTTGAGGTTGGAGGAAGTTAGCAGGTCCTCGATAGGCGAGGGGTTACTCCAGACTTGTTCCTCAAGAAAAGAAAGTTTGTTCCTTGCTGCGGAGGCCGGGAATGTAGCTGAAAAAACACCAAGAAATTCATAAATACGGCGAAATATTAAGACTTGGCAAGGAAAACAGCCAGAACACTTGGTATGAAGGGAGGTTAAATATTCTATACCTAATTTCCCGAATTTGCGCGGAATGGGAAGCGCAATTGATTGGGACACGAACCATTTCCCTTTAACACAACCATCCTTTCTTTCCATTTCTTTTCGGATGAAGGAAGGTTCGTGCATATCCTTTGATGAAGGGGAGAGGTAAAAAAGAAGCGACCAGGCTCGGTCCCATGCTTAGATATATTGTATGTAAGCAGAAGGTCGACAAGGGTCAAATCCAGAGCCTCTAATTTCCGGCGCACCAACAACGCCGAAAGGATGCGAAAGAAATTGGGATTTACTTGAAGGGGGGCAAGACCTAGCTTATTGAAAACTAAATGATAGAAGGGATGAAGAGGGAATCGGAGGGCGTTAAGGTGCCCTACAGAAAGAAGCAACTCATCCTCCTCAATTCCCTCGCCGGAGGTGAAATCGGCACCCTCGGGATATTCTGCAATGTCTATTCCTTCAGGAACATCAAATTCTTCCATTACCGAAGCAATAGAGAATTTGATGCGGCGAATAGAGATGATTGCTTTCTTCTCTTCATGGGTAAGAACGTAATCAGAGCCTGAGGTGGATGTTTCGGTTAGAAGAGGGGAAGTACCTGACGAATTCAACGAAGGGCGATCTGTAGAAACCCTAGGAGGGGGAGCCCTAATGCGAATGGGGGAAGACGAAGGTATGGATTCAGAATCCCCGATATCTACACGTTCGGGAGTAGATGAAGTACTCATAATGAAAGATTGAAGAGAAAGATGCGAGACTAACCTGACAAAGCGAAGGAAGCGATGAAACGAAGGACGCAGAAGTGCAGTAAGGGCAAATGTAACTCTGGCAAAATCTTGTGCGAAGGAAGTAATAACGAAAGGCCACGAACCGTTTCTGAAGCAAAGTGAAAACCGGTTTCAATTCCCTCTTTAATAGGAGCCGTCACTCAATTAAAAATGGAATTTGGGGCAAAGTGTGGAGGGAAAAAAACTCCCTCCAATAAAAAACACACACGTCACCACTACCCATATCTACAGGCCAAGGACATATAAGGCCCATCATGCTCAAGCCCAAGTTGAGGGTATTTACAGCCCAAGATCATTCCATCAAGGCCGAATCAAGAAGCTATCAGCCCAGCTTGTCGTCAGCCCAGATATGAGTATTTAACATCCGGCCTGTTACCCAAGCCCAGCCGGATCAAAATATATTCAGCCCAAGAATGCACAAATCCTACCATTTGAAGAATTTACCATAGAAGGAAAATTCGGATAGGAAGTTCTGTACAAGGCAAGTTCTATGTATGAAAAATTCAACAATGGAAAGAACTCTATTAGAAAAGAATGGTTATATAGAAAGAATTGGAGGGCAAGCAACGCGAGTCCTACCATAATTCTGTAATCTTTTGTATATAAATAGAGGCTAAGACCTCCAATAAAGAATCAAGCAATTCCACACTTCTCTACACATTGTTCTTATTTATTTTTATTATTTTTGAGTGAGTTGTTTTATTTTTCTCAGTCATTATTGGTTGAGCGAAATTTTGCACCTACAGATACTCTTTTATATATTAAGAGATGATCAAATATATATGTTGCATCATATATTGACTAAATTGCAGCATCAATTCACCCCAACAAAAAAGACATAAATAGCACCAGAAGTCTCTATAAAAAGGAGCAAATCTCAAACCTACTTCCATGCATAACTATCATCAAACATGGAGCTCTCTTTCCTTTCTTCACCGCAAATATTCCTCACTGTCTTTACTCTTGCTGTTAGTGTCTTCCTCTATATTTTCATCTATCACCAAACTAACCGGCAAAAAACGAACCATCCACCGGGTAATTTTGGGTGGCCAATTATTGGCGAAACCTATCAATTCCTCTATGGGAACTCTGAAAAATTCATTGGTGACAGAATGAAGAAGTACTCTCCCAAAGTGTTCAAGACAAAAGTGTATGGTGAACCCACCGCCGTCCTCTGTGGCGTTGCCGGCCACAAATTCATCACCTGTGGCGTTGCCGGCCACAAATTCATCACCGCTAACGAGGAGAAGCTTTTCCGGGTGTGGCGCCCACATTCCCTCCAAAAGCTCTCCCGCGCCCCATTCCTCCCCAATGCCACGGCCTCCATCCCACGGGAAACCATGGTCAATGTCACCCGTGCCCCGGGTTTCATCAAGACCGAGGCACTTATTGGGTACTTGGGGAAAATGGACACCATGATTCAACAACATTTCAATTTGCACTGGGAGGGAAAACAAAAAGTGCAGGCCTATGAGCTCATGCACAGAATGACCGCGACTTTATCGAGCCGGTTCTTCTTAGGGCTCGAAGAGAATGATCCTCGTATCAAAAAGTTTGCTAGGCTATCAGATGGAATGACGGTCGGGCTCCATTCTTTCCCCATAAATATTCCTGGAACTGTGTTTTACCACACCAAGAAAGCTGCGGAGGCGATGAGGAAGGAGGTTCAGCAACTGATTAAGGAGAAAAAAGCTGTCATGTCCAGTGGAATACAAACTCACGACATTCTGTCACATATGATCTTCAGCAGCAACCCTGCTGTCGGCCGGTTCAAGTCGGAGAAAGAAATCGCAAGCCTTTCCTCGGCCTTGGTCGTGTCCGGATTCACCACACCTGCCACTGCTCTAGCCATTATCATGAAATACCTTGCAGAAAGACCCGACATATATGATAAAATTCGTGCAGGTATGTCATTGACAATAATTTTAAGATGGACTTATGGACCTATATTTAACATTTGACATGGAGTGAAAACTATGATCAAAATACTGAACTGTGGAGATGAAAAAATACTGTCCAAACTACCTTTAAGTACCACTTTGTGGAGAAAGTGGTACATGATGACATGGTATATACAAAAAAAAATGTTATATAACTTTGATTCTATCAGTAAATATGAGTTTATAATATCATGCATTGGTAATAATCCCTTTAAACAACCCATCATATATAAATGAAATGATCTTGATTTCAAACTCGAATCATACAACATATCACAGTGTGTTGCATTGTTATATTACTATTAAATTAAAATTTTAACACATTTACATATTTGTTGCATTGTTCATTTAAAGTTTTTATGTTGAAGAAGTAAAGGTACTGTATCAGGCACATAATAGACATATGACAAAAATAACAACAGAGAATCTCGGTTCTCTGGTTTCAAACCTTATTTTCTTTATACTTTACAAATTGAAATTGACATTGACATTGATTGAGCGGTGGAATTTTCAAAATCAGAACAAATGAAGATCAGCAGCTCCAAGAAATTAGGAGAGTTGCTTAATTGGGAGGACATACAGAAGATGAAATAGACATGGCACACAGCACTGGAAGTGATGAGAATCATACCACCTTTTCAAGGAGGATTCAGGGAGGCTTTAAGTGACTTCACGTGTGAAGGTTACACTATCCCAAAGGGTTGGAAAGTAAGTAAAACTAAACATCCTTAATTAAAATTCTTCATATGATTTGTTATTTACACCATCTCGACTCTTGATCAATTCATGTGTCCTTCAGTAACAATCATCTTAAGAAATTTAATTTTTTTAACATAAACCTAATCTCCTATATATTATTGGCTATTCCATGTGACCGTCCAATCATAATCACCATCAGTTCGTCACATCATGTGATTGAAATTACCTGCCCATGAAAATCTCTTTGGTTTTTTTAACATAAATTATGAACAGTTGGGGCGTGTTTGCGGTAATAAATTAATCTGTCTCTATCTTAACATGAAGGTGTATTGGACCGTGACTACCACAAACAAGAACCTGGAATGCTTTCCAGAACCAGAAAAGTTTTCTCCGACGAGGTTTGAGACTCCTCCACCTTACACCTTCGTCCCATTTGGCAGCGGTCTACGGGTGTGTCCTGGAAAAGAGTACAGTCGACTAGTGATGCTCATTGTTCTCCACAATCTTGTCAAAAAATTCAAATGGGAGGTGTTGGCTCCTAACGAGAACATGATTGGCACCGTCATCCCTATGCCGGGAAAAGGGTTCCCCATCCTTCTCCAACCTCTCTCAACATAAGCAATGGTGTTTATGCTAGCCAGTACTATTCGTGAACGTAGTATAATATATATTTATCTAGATCAACAATGGTATACATGCAGATGTAGTACTGTAACTATTGTTGTTATTATCCAGTACTCATATATAGGTAAGCCACCGAATAAAAATAATGCGAAAGCAAAGTCTTTGTTTGTTAGAAGTATTTTATGATTAACTCATGCTAGTGGCGTGGTTGTACTGAATTCCTACTTTTGTCTGAAGAGAGGTTGAATCTTAATGAAAAATAATAATAATAGTAAAAGTATGTTATGATGTATACGGATCTTGTTGAACTGATGTATAATGTACGTTTGAGTGGAATAAAAGTTCAGATGTGATTATATTTCAGAGTGAGATTTTTAAATTACTGATTTGATTAAGTTGTCATTTGTGTGTGATTTAAATAATAAAATAAAATGAATTGTGTGAATAAACAAAAAAAGTTAATTAACACTTATTTTTACGATTGTGGGAGTATATTTAACCATAACTCCGAACTTTTTTAAGGCCCACGCTGTGACTATTTTCGAAACAGATTCTTCTAATACAAATCTTCAGTGAACGAGTTGCCAATGTTGGCATGTTGCCTCAATTTTGATGTTTTTTGGTGCACTTTTTATATAGATTTATATACTTCATTAACTTTCTAATCGTAATTTGGAATTTTTTAAGACCGAAACGGTTTTAATCGTATCTTCTGTACTGCATGCCGCTATTTTTTAAGTAGGCTTTTCTGATATAAATTGTCAGTGAACAAGTTGCTAATACTGTCTCATCTTCTGATGTTTTTCCTCGATAACTTTCTAATCATAACTCCGAAATTTTCAAGGCTGGTGCGGTTTGAATCATATCTTCGAGTCTATCCGGCTAATTGTAACTATTATTGAAGCAGATTTTTTTTGAAATAAATAAATAAGTTGCTAATACTGCCTTATCTTTTGATGTTTGTTTATACACTTTTTATATAAACGTCAATAAATTTCAGACCATAACTTGAGAATTTTCAAGGTCGGAGCGGTTTGAATCGTATTGTCTGTACCTATGTAACTGTCACTATTTTTGAAGTATACTCCTTTAATATAAATCGCCAGTGAACAAGTTGCTAATGCTATTTCATGATATTTTTTCGTGCACCATTTATATAAACGTCAATAACTTTCTAACCGTAACTAGAAATTTTTTAAGGCCGGTGCGGTTAAAATCGTATCGTCCGTGACTATCCAAATGATATTTTTAAAGTAGATTATTCTGATCGATCTAAATGGTATAGACGCGTCAAATAAAAAAATGAGACATAATAATCACGATAGCAAGTAGTGTTCTTTTCAAATTCTACATGGTTTCTCTAGTCCACAAATTAGGAGAATCAATATATAAGTGATGTAAAGGATGGTTTGTACACTTGACCACACTAAAATTGAATGATAACAAAGAGAATTTAAAATTGTTTGGTAGGTAAGCTCAATTAAATGGACCATAAGAAGTAATCCTGACCCATAATTATATAGTTACAGATGGAAAGGGGTTGCGTGTACTACATTGGAGCAGCGATATTAGACCATTTGGACGGTCATATTCCTTTAATTTTTTTGATTGGTGAGAAATAATTTTAAAAAATGAAATGTGACATTATTTTAGAGATGGGTGTTTTTCAATTATGAACCCAATCCTAAGAGATATTGATGGGGGTTCAGCAACTGATTAAGGAGAAGAAAGCTGCCATGATTTAAATTAAATCATGTAAATAAATTAAAAAAGTGAAATCTTGATTCAATAAGTCTATTTCAATCCACACGTTCATGTGATAAGATAAAATTATGTACAGCCATTAAATTTTCATTTTATTTTATTTCATCTGTATCAGGGGAAAAAATTAGTTTGATGAGTATCATCTTTTTTTCACTTGAACAATGCTGCCAAGGGGGCTCTAATGTATCTCAATCCAACATCTATGTGTCCCTAAATAGAAGTACCAACCACATTCATATTTTTTTGAAGAGTGTCATGTGTTCAAGTCTTAATGGAGACCATGTGTGTAAGAGAATTATTTTACCTTTCAGAAAAGAAAAAAAAAAAAATACCAAATACAAAAATAAAATATGTCTAGATTGATCTAGAGGAAAAAGGAATGAATATTCTTTTATTTATTTATTATTATTATTTTGTCATTGGCATAACTTACGCACATCATTCGCACACTCAATTTGTTCCTTTGAAAATTCAAATCTCACTATCACTTTAAGAGGTAGAATAAATACCACTAGGGCACAAGTCCCTTAATGAATGGATCTTCATTCTCCATATGTACAACTGATGAAGATAATTCAATACCATTTTTAATATACATATATAAATTTGTAGGTTAAGAAAAAATGATGAATATGATAATTGTAGAATAAAATAAAAGGGGTTGATAATATTCGCCCCCTCAACGTCCCAGTAAAGTCTTGAACTCACACACTTGAAAAGGTAGCTGTAGCCGCAGCCGCCGCAGGTAAGTCTAAATCTTCCGACCCCACAATAGGAGGAGCAAATTCTTGTTGAGACGGCTTATGGTTGGGGGTTGGCCTCTGATCGCAGTCTAGTAATTAGATGTGCCAAATTACGACACGACCCGCCAACACGGCTCGAACACACCACAGGATAAGCGGATTTTGGTTAACTTTAAACGGGTTCGAGTCAAAAACGGATTGACACGATTAACCCATTTATTTAAGCGTGTCGGGTTAGGGTTGAGTGGTTCAATCCATGTAACCCATTTAACTCAACATGTTATAATCGTGAATATGATATATGTAATATGTTATCTATTTAAATCCAATTATTATATATATTTAAGTCATTTAAACATAAACCTTGTTTAAGCCTTTATCATTTTTTTTTTTTTTTCTTATTTTGAATATTTAGGTTAATTGTGACAAATTTATTTTTTATTATTTGATTAAATATTAAAAGTCTGGTTTTGATAAATATGTCATTAAACAGATTAACACATTTTGTGGAACTGTGTTTTATCGTGGGAAGAAAGCCGACACGATGAGAAAGGAGGTTCAGCAACTGATTAGGGAGAAGAAAGCTGCCACGTATAGTGGAATACAAACACATGACATTCTGTCATATGCTATCCTCAGCAGCAACTCAGAGGCTGCCTGGTTCGGGTCTGAGAGCGAAATCGCAATCATGGCCTCAGGTTTAGTCATGTCAGGATTCACCAGTCCTAGGAAAAGAATATACTCGACTAGTGATGCTCATAGTTCTCCACAATCTCGTGAACATGATTGGCATCATCATACCTGTGCCGGAAAAAAGGGTTCCCCGTCCTCCTCCATCCTCTGTCAACATAAGGAAATCCACAACTACATGAAATTCGACGCAATGGTATTTTATGGTAGCCATGGTACTTTTCTTGAAGCTAGTAGTATGTATGCAGCTTTAATATTTTAACCATATATGGTTGCTATGGTTCAATGATATCTGTGTATGATAGAAACTAATTAATGTGGAAGCTAAAGTCTCTATTTCTTTGTTTGTTAGAATCATGTTACTATGATATACACCAGATTGCTGTTGGAATAAATATTTAATTGGTTTAGCTTTAGGGATGTATTTACAAATACTTGAAGTTCCGGACGGCAATTTTTAAGTTTATAGAGTCAAACTTCAAACGCGTATTTTTCTGAAAGTTTGACGCAGACATAAAAAAAAATATTATTCATTTGCTTAAATTACACTCAATATTTTTATCTCTCACTTTCGTGCACTTCTTGTGAACTAATTCTTATGAATCTTTTATATCCTTGTGGGTTTGGATTGACACAAAATCTCCATCAATTTTCACCATTATATTTTTATGAAAACAATATATTATTTGCTAAAGGGGTTCAACTATTGAATAATCATTGCGATTTGCAGCAGAAATCACGGGGTGCATACGAATTTTCATTTTTGGTGAATATGCTCCATGATCTGAACTTTTTAGAAGATGATACTCCTTTAAGAGGGATTAGATCAATATCCTGTTAGACACGTATATTTATAACACGTGTGTGGCCTATATTGCCACAATACATTTATATTCTAATCCACTGCGTCTGACACAACGTGTAAAGTTGTGGGAAGTTACAGTAGCGTGGTTGTGGAAAGTTAATGGTGGTTATCATCTGACTAGTTTAAAACAAGGGTTAGCATGATGGATTGCTCTCCTCGTTTCATTCATACAGAATCCTTACAGAGGTCCCATGCCTAACAATGTGTTGTCTCCATCAAGTACATGCATAAAGATTTGTATAAGCGTGAACATCATTAGGATTTCCAAATTTGTTTTGCAGGCATTAACCAAACTGATTTCATGGCTGGAGGTAATGCGATCTCTTTGGACTTGATAGTTTCTTTCATTTGGTATCAGAGCGATACCTTTTGACTATGTTATCCTTCGGTTTGTATGTCTGTAATATTTGTTCAGCGACTGTGTTGCCGTTCTTTTTCTGGCATATAATATCTGTTTAGCGGCTATGTCGCCGTTGTCTTTTTAGCCTGTATCCTTTATGTTCTATTTGTTCTGTATTATTTTTGGTCGGTGTGTTTCAGTTTGTAATATTTTTTCGGTACTGTTTTATCGTTTGGTTACGTTGGCCGGAATGAAGTGGTAGAATACTACACCTATAAGGATTGCGATGAATAAAGTGTTCAGACCCGAGCGGTTTAACGACTGCTTTAAATATGGGAGAATGTCATCGTGAATTTATACAGTGGGAACAACGTTGGCCTTTTTGATGGTAAAAGTGATTCAGACTCGAGCGGTTTCACGACTGCTTTAAAAAAGGGTGAATCTTATCATAAGACCATAAAGATTTGTTTTATAATGAATTTTTATTTATGCAGAATACTTTGGAGTGGTATAGTTTTGGAAATTTCTATACAAATGAAGAATACTTCAGAGTTGTATAGTTATTGCATATTAAAAAAATCCAGATCCAATATATTCTCATACATGCAGTTTATTAAAGTATGAGTATTACTACTATTTTAATGTGTATTCTTTAACCAGATATTAGCCACAGCATCTTTGGTTATTGGTTTTGTGATATAAAATAAAAATAAAAAAATAAAAAAGTTTTAATATATGATATTTATATCACATAAAGATTATGCATTAAAATGTTATAGTTCATTCATAAAAAATGTTTTATTCTGCCCTACAGGGAAATAATCATTGTTTATGAATGAACGTGGATAATAAAAAAGGGGATACAGAATTAAATTGGCAATGAATACAAATGGCCACAGGACTGTATCATTATCAGTTTAATGCCAGTAAAAAATATTTTATCCCATTATGGTTATATTTTTCAAAACTTTAGTGTATTAAAATCTCTGCCCACAGGAAAGTTATAATGACACATTGTTTTGATATGAAATTTTTTAACGTAGGTTAAGAATTTCAATAAAGTTTATTGTATAGTAGAGTAATGTTTGGCACGTTTTCTTTTTGCAGTAATTTCGTCTGGTTCTGTCAATATTGGTTCATCTCATATCCCATTTTTAACTGGTGATAATTATTCGGATTGGAAGGAGAAGATCCTTCTAACATTGGGGTGTATGGACATTGATTTGGCACTTCGTGTGGATGAACCACCCATCCCTATGGAATTGTGATACCCCTGGATTTTTAGATGCGGGTTGGCTAGGCCCACGCCCGATTACCCGAGGATATCAAACCAATTAGCAATTAACGATCACAGAATACAATTTAAGATAACAGGAATGAATAAAATGTGCTGAAAAGAAACTAGAATGACAATCCAATAATTGAAACCTCAAAATAAATATTTCCATTGATAAATAAAATTATTCTGATACAACTGATCCTCCACGAATACAAATCGTTCTCCAAATTATACAACTCGGGAATCCATCTAGTGGACCCCTAAAATATCCCACTGAACTCAAATGACTGGAACAAAAACCAAAGCCTAAAACATAAAACAAAGTCCTACAGCATCGGTGGAGTGAATGACGGTATCTACTCAGCACGATCTAGCTCTAAGACTGGAACTAACGAACACGTATAAAAATAAGAGTGGGTCAGACCCACATGTAAATTCTTCTCTAACTACAATCCAAACAGTGACCTGATAAGCAGATACACCCTAGATATCTCAACAATAGCTATCTAGTCCATACATATATATATATCCATCCTGAGGGATATTCACTGGACTACAGTAGGGGTCTCAACCTGAATAGAAGGTAACATGCGAAAACGCACCCAAAGGTGGGCATGAGTACCTAGACCTAACAGGGTACACCTTAACCTACTATAGCCAGCTACGCATCCACTGCATATACGCACCCTAACCAACGAGTCTGAGACTCAAGCTCATCTCGTGGTACCATAACCATATATTTAAAGTCTATTTATATCCATCCATATGAACTCCAATAAATTGTTCAGCTTATTCAACTGCACAGACTTATATAAGAGATCCAGTAAGTTGTTCAGCTTATTCAACTGCACAGACTTAAATATAAGGAGAATTATGTTTTTTTTTTTTATAATTCGTATCCTTATTCCAAAATATATAGGACTGAGTATTTTGAATCAGTTTGTCCCTAGTATGCCACCGTCCCATACCGGTGCATACAATCCACAAAATCCATATAATTGATCGAACAGGTAAAGCTGTTCTCCAATTAAAATCCATAAGGTAGGAATTAGCGTTTTGAGTTAAACCATACCTAGTATGTCACCGTCCCATACCGGTGAATACAATCCTCCATATTCATGTAAATTATAACATATAAATAATAAGCAAGTAATTTACAGTCCGAAACCAAATATCAATAGCATTGTAGAAAAGTGTTTTAAGTTTCAGCAATTTAAATCCAAGAGTTAAACCATGTATTGTTTAACAATTCAACAACTAGCATCCTAAATATGCATAGATCAGTTTTAATGAATCAACTACTCTATCATGCGTTTAAATAAGTTTTGTAATCATGTTATAGTCCAAACAATTGCTAAATCAATTTAAGCAATTTAATTCTTTCCATCCGGTAACAACGTACTAAGTTCTATACTCGTACTCTGTTTTATCCCTTTACACACTATGCCCCAAGTCCAATTTTTTAATAAAAAGACTTCACCATGTATTTAAAATTTAGTTGAGAATTATGATTTAGCAGTTTCAGTTGTCAAACTAAAACTAGACAACAAATCTCCTTCCAGCCGTTAACCGTACGCCTAGTTGTTAAATTAGCGCACTGTTAATTTCATTCACTTAGAGGTCAACCTTACTCAATTTAAGGACTTAATAACACTCAACACCAACCTTCTAATCCCTCTGTAAAAACCCCAGAGTCAATAAAACAGTTCCTATGCTCTAACAGTAACCAAACAGTTCGTAAAAAAAAATTCCAGAAAAACACTATTAGAAAGAGCCTGCTCTAAATTCAAAGAGCAGGCTCTTTTTGAGCCTGGAGCTGGCTCTATGGACTTTAGAGCCGGCTCAATGAGTGTGGGAGCCGGCTCCCACTTCCATGGAGCCGGCTCTCACCTCCTTTGAGAGCTTCAATCCCTGTTCTGCTCCGTTTCAGTCCGTCTGCTCCCTCTCTGATTAATTCCTACCACTCTGTTGGGTTCTAAAACTAATCTTAGGAGTCTTAATTGAGTCTAGAAGCATCCCCAAGGTTGTTTACAATAACTGGGACCAATTACAGATGTTAGATTTAGCCATTAACCTAGCATGTTTACAGTACGAAATTTAAACTGACTTGCAACATCCATTCCATTCCAACTCCTCTGTTCCTCTTCATCATTGAACCTAAAGATCTTATATCATCATAGTAACATCCCCATGATTTATTTATAGAGGTTAAAGGCAATTACAGAGACTAAAATTGCTTAACAACATAACATGCTTAAAACAGAAAATTGATCAAGACTTGAAACAAGCTTGCACGCATTATACCAGAATAAAATTTAACACGTAAAGATCATCAATATATTATATAGTAAGCATGTAAGTTCTGATTTAATAATTTATTAAACTCTAGAGATTATCTAGTTGCACAAAACACAAGCCAGAGGGAAGGAGGAAGAGAAGAACTTGACTGTGATTTCAGTAATGAAATCTCGACGTCGTCTCTAAGTTTCCGGCAACTGCTAACTTCCTTCAAGCCTCCTATGGGTTTGACTTAATCCACCACAACCCTACCTTGATCCTCTCTATTCTTCTCCTTGGTAGCTCTTATGATTTCCTCTGTTCTCCCAACTCTCTCTTTGTTATGTTTTATTTCCACTGTGCCGTGAATAAGGTTCTCCCAACCCTCAGTAAAAACTCATACACGTATATATATAGTCACTTAGAAAACCCTAATTAAACTAGAGCTAAGACAGAAACCCTAATCAAACTAGAGTCGGCCGATAAAATCCTAATCATATACATATATAACAGATACCTATATGACGTCCCAATAAAACCCTAATCTTTAAATAAATAAATGAAAACAAATAATTAAATTAAAATAGTAAATCAAAGAATTAAAACTACATCATTTAAATCAACTTACCAAATAAACCAATTCAATTAAATCAAATAACCAATTAAATTACACAATTAAATCAAATAATGAAAAAAACAATTAAACATCTAAGAAACTAGTCACATAAAAATGAAATACAAATAATTAAAATTTCAATTTTATCCTTTTTTAAAACTAGGGGTATTACAGGAATCAAGTACGCCAAGTGAAAGGGCTTTTTATGAGAGGTGGGAGCGATCAAATCACTTAAGTATATGTCTCATTAAAAGTCATATTGGGAAAAACATAAAGAGTTCAATTCCTGAATGTACTAAGGCAAAAGAATACATGACAGCAATTGAACAACAGTTTGTAAGTTCCGATAAAGCATTGGCTAGCACTCTAATGACCAAATTATCATCAATGAAGCATATGGGTAATAAAGGGATCCATGAACATATTATGGAAATGAGAGATATAACTGCCCAAATGAACTCATTGGAGTTTACCTTTTCAGAGACGTTTCTTGTCTAATTTATACTCAACTCCCTGCCTGCTGAATATGGGCCATTCAAGATTTCTTATAACACACATAAGGAAAAATGGCCAGTTAATGAATTGCTTACCATGTGTGTTTAAGAGGAAGGGAGATTGAATCAGGAGAAGCTAGAAAGTGCTCATCTAGCGACTCATGGAAAGGGACATATAAAAAAGGGTGTGCAATTTAAGAAGTAGGGGAATGCATCAACTAGCAAAGTTGACGATAAGGGTACCATCAAATACTTCTTCTACAAAAAGAAAGGGCACATGAAAAAGGAATGTCCAAAGTATAAGACTTGGCTGCTTAAAAAGGGTAATCTTTTTTCCTTTGTGTGTTATGAATCAAATGTAGTTAATACATTTAATGATGCTTGGTGGATTGATTCTGGTTCTACAATTCACATTGCCAATACCATGTAAGATTTAATCAACCTAAGGAGACTGACGAAAAGTGAACGTTTCATCTATTCGGGAAACAAGATGAGTTCACATGTGGAGGCGGTTGGAACCTACAGACTCTCATTACCATCTGGCTCTACATTAAAACTTGAAAGAACTTTTTATATTCCAACTATTTCAAAAAATTTGATTTCTATTTCGAAACTTGTTGGATTTGGTTTTAGTTTTAATTTCTTTAATACTTCTTTAAGTATTGTAAAAGATTATGTTGTTATTGGTAATGGTATTTTGGTTGATGGTTTATATAAATTAGATTTAAACCCTAATATTGACCATAATCACTTAACCTTGCATGGAAATATTGGCATCAAGCGTAAGGCTAAAACAGAGAAATCTTATTCATTATGGCATAGGAGATTAGGACATAT